GTTTTCCAGATTTCCAGTTTTGATGTACATATTCTTTATCTTATGTACATGGTTTATATATTCAGCTATGTTTTGAATTTCCGAGGACGGAAATTTTGTAAGGAGGGAGGATTGTAATATCCCGAGATTTTAATCGGTATAATTACGTTTAATTCCGATATAGTAACATTATTGTTTATTATTTTCGGAATTAATTAAGTTCAGTCGGGATTACCGAAATTTGTTTTCGACGTACCGTTTACGTTCGAAATAATTTTGGTAATTAAGTATTATGTTTAATTAATAGTTAAACATAAAAGTTAGCAAGTAATTGTGATTATTAGCATTATTAAGCTTTAATGACCGTAGCCTTAGGGAGAATTCCTCCAATTTTATACCAAAGCCGTAGCCTTTTAAGTACAATATCATGAGTTTCCTTTTCATTAAGGAAATCATGTTTCCTTCTTATTTTGAGTATAATACGTGGTAAATAAATAAGGTGCTTAGTCACCATGAAGCCCTTTAAGTATTAACAATTGGAAACACATAAGAAGGGCCACGTTTCTAGTACATCATCAATCTTCACGGCCTAAGGATATAAGGAGGATTTTGGGGCAAAAAATTGTTCCTTACTTTTCCCTATAGGACGTGAGCAAATTACTCATCAGAAAATAAACTTCCAGCAACCAAAAAGATCAAGCAAAAGTTTCCCCTAATTTCTCTAATAATTCGCTCGACAATTAAGGACACCGCACGGAGTACACGCGAGGAAGAAGCTATGCCTATTTTCCGATTTCGATCGTTCCAGCAGAGAAGGTAACCTCTTATTCAACTCGTGTTCATGTTAATTAGGTTATCTCAAGGTTAAATGTTTCGATTAATTGTCGGAATTTCAGATCAAAGCATGCCTAAGTCCGAATATGGTTAAGTAAGTTAGCACCGAACGAGTTTCGTTTTCTTCCGACAACTCTCGAATCATGATCATTTTAATGACCAGTTGAGTCGATTTTAAGTTCAGCATGATTA